GAGAGGGAGCAAAACAAGCCCTACCCTGGATCCAGCAAAGGGTGAACGAGCCGCATTCGCCCTCCAGCTGGGTAAATGTCTCGCACGGCTTGCTACTGAGGAGTGGGCTTTTGTGATTAGAGCCGGGGGCACGAATCAGGATGCCCTGGCTCTGGGAGGAGAGTGTGGCCTAGTGGTTGGAGCAGGGGGGGTGAGAGTCAGGTTCGAGGGTGGGAGCGGGGGTCCAGTGACTAGAACAGGAGGAGGGATGCTGGAAGCTCAGGTTTCAGTAGCTCTGCAAAGGCCTCACTGTGCAACCTTGGCTGGGCCCTTGCCCCTCCGCCCCGCCCCACTAGGCTGGGTGAAGCTTTGGATCTCAGTGGTGGGAGCCAGAGGCTGCCTACCTGTGATGCTGAGATGTGTGCAGAGCAGGGCAGACAGCGTGGGGTAGTGGGCAGAGCTCTGCCACGGGCCCCACAGCACCACCTGGGACAAGGCCCTGCCTAGCTGTGGCCTCACACAGGGGCTGGTCTGGTCTGTGTTGGCCTGCTGGCAAATCGGGGATTTTTGAACATTGATTATCTTGGCAGCGGCTCCCTTGGGAATCTAGAAGGGGAACTATCAGAGAAGAGGAAACCTGGGGGCGGGGTTGGCTTCTGATCCCAGCCTAGCCAGCAATTAGCCCTGCCTTGGCCAGCCCCCTCCCTGAGCAGGGCCTGGCTGAGCCAGCTGCATCCGGTGTCCTGGCCACTGTCACTCCATCACGCCAGGCTCTCTGTCAGGGCAGTGCTCCTGCTCTAGGCGGCTATCAGAGCTGGCGCGGGGCCAGCCTTTGTGTGGTGGCTGCTGGGATGCAGGCCTAGATCCAGCTTCTCCAGGGCCTGGCGGGGGAGAGGGGGGTAGAACTGTGCCCAGAAGGCTGCACGGCCCGAGAGCAGAGCTTGGGATCCTGGGATGGAGGCTGCTTAGGAGGGGTTCTTCCCCGTCCTCTCTACATCACTGTTCCCTTTACTTCTTTCCAAGCATGGACAAAATAAATGTTGTGCTGTGCACTGAGGCATGGGTGGATGTGCACCACCAGTAGACACACAGGCTGCCAGCTGTGGGCACGCTGCTAATCATTGGGTGCCCGCCCAAGTGCTCAGCTTACAGGGAGCACTGGTCTCCATTCATGGTGCAGACAAAGGTCCATGCCTGGGGCACTGACCCCTGGCAGCACAGTGCCCTGAGTCTGCTCTGCGGGAGGGGGCACATGATGAGACGAGTTTGCTGGGGATGGGCATGGGCACAGGCTGAGGACTCCCTCTCCTCTCTGCAGCTGGAACGACTCTGCCCTCCCTTGGGACTAGACTCTGCCCTTTGTGCCAGGTGGGCACATGGGTGGACAAGGGGTCCTGGAAAGAAAGGAGGGTTCACGGTGCCACAACCTGCCCCAAGACCCTTAGCGAAGGGGGCTGGCCAGGCTCACCCATGCCAGTACTCACAAGAGCTGCAGCCTGCCCCAGAGGCTGGGCTAATATGATGCCCCTGATCTGCCTGCTGATTCCTTGCTGCCTACCCCCCTCTCCCAGGGCTCTATTGACAGATTTTTGGAAAAGTGGCGTATGTTAATTGCTGAACTCTTGGAAAATCTCTCTTCCTTCCTCCGTGCCTCAGTTTCACCCTCGCTGCATGGGGTAGCTTGTGAAGATAAAATTCATTCATCATTGTAAAATGCCCAGATGCCATGGTGATGGGCCCATGGCTTGCACCTAGCCAGCTAGTCTTACCCTATGGCTGCAGCAGCACCTAGCTCCTGGTAGCTCCCACCTCATGCCCCCACCTGACAGCTAAACATACACCCTCCAGCTGCTCCTGAAATCCATCTGTAGACTGGGGATTAGCCCCAGTTCAGACACTGTCCAGTAGCCACCATGGGCATGCAGTATGGGCCAATGGTTGGACACTAACCACCAACTCAGGAACCCTATGGGCCATTTCCTATTCTGCCACAGACTTCTTGTGTGCCCTTGGGCAAGACACTTAGCCTGGCCATGCTCCAGTTTCCCCCACTGTGCATTGAGGTTAATTGCCCTGCTCTGCCTCACCTCACTGCATCACAGCCTGCCGAGGGCTCTCTAAGGTGTATGGTGTTGCAGACCCTGATGCAGCCCAAGCCATGGCTTGCCCTGGTGCAGCTAGCTCCGTGCAGCTGGTGAGATCAGTTGTGCGCTGTATGGGCTCCGGGCTGCTGATGGCTCTGTCCCAAGTACAGGGTCTTTGAAATTCCCCTGCAAACTTCCCCTTCTATAGAAGGGTGCTTCTGCAAAGCCATTCCCAGCTCAGTGCATCATCCTGCTCCCCGGGCATCCAAGCCACTGCTTCTACCTTCCCCCAGTCCACACACTTTCCTTTTGGCTCCTGGCCAAGGGAGAACGAGCTACCAGAAGAGATTTGCTCTGCAGTCGCTCCTCTGAGGCCCTAGAGAAATGGCCAGGAACCCACAGACACAGTCCCTGCCCCACAGACACAGTCCCTGCCCCACAGACTCGCAGTAGAAAAGGGGAAGCCTCTGCAAGTGACTTGACTAACGTCACCAGCAGGATCAGTGGCAGATCTGGATCAGAGCCTGCCATCCCCAAGCAATGGAACCAGAGCCTCACACCCAGGACCAAAGAGAGCGGCTGGAGAGCAGGCTTGTTTTGCCCTCCTGCTGCCATTTCTGCCCTCTCTAAAACCCCAGGCAGCAGTTGCTTCTATTGGCTTAGAAGAGACGAAATGACACATTGTTGCGACTCATGTTCCACCCAGCAGCTGTCCTCAGGCTAGGGCCAGGTTCAGATTTTCTCAGGGAGCTCCTGTCTATAGACACACGGCTCCGTGAGCTGTTTGCAGTCGTAACAAAGAAACGATCCCTAGCTATTTGCATAATGCTCAGTGGAGATCATGACCTCCTGGCCCACGAGACAGAGCTTACCCCCAAAGAGTTTACAAGCCACGCAGCCAGAGAGAGGGGAGGGGAAACAGAGAAGCAACTGATCTGGGGCAAAGCTTGGAGGAGAACTCAGGGGGTTTTGACCCAGTGTAAATGCTCTAGCAAACACATCACACACCTCCTTTTTCTAGACCATGCTGCTTTGCTGTCATCTCTGGGGGTGGGGGGCAGTTCTGGCCTGTGCATTGCATCATCTGGTCCCACCAAATTCCAGTAGCTTCATGCCAGCAAAGTAGATTCCCAGTAGCTACTTGCTCTGCCTGGGAGTCCCCAAATCCCTCCATGCTCCTTCTCCTAACCCCCTCCGTCAGCAGAAACCCTCACACACTGCCCCCCCAATCATGGATTAGACATCTGTGCGGGTCCCTGACCAGCTCTCACCCACTCCACTCCCCTGGCTCCAGCCAAATACACATACACAAAATCCCTCAAATCAGGTTTTAACCTCAAAAAATGTAAAGAACGTCCTTGGAATCAGAAGGCGCCAAGAAGGCCAATGAAAGAGGCTGGGAGAAAGGAAGAGCTCCCAGCCTGGGGCGGGATTAAAATATGCAGCAGAGTAACACAAACTCTGGGCAGGCCCCTTCTCTGGAGAACATGCAAACAGCACAGAAAGGGGCTTTATTTTCCCAGCTGGAAAAGTCCCCAGCTCAGCAACGCTCACCTCCCTGGTGCAGCTTGGCACTTAAACCCATCATGCCAGGTGAAATGGGGAGCCCTGACACAGCTGCCTCTTCACTCCATGGCATGGTCTATGGGGGGGGCTCAAACCCCTTTGGTAGCCTGGGAGACTGCAGGAAAGCGTGGTCCTCTCCTCTATGAACACCCTTTGCACTTCGCCTGTGGAACTCACCGCCTCATGATGTGGCTTAGGGTTAAACAAGGGATTGGCTGTTTGCAGGGGGACCATGTGCCATTCTGTTTGGTGTTTGTTATTAGAAGGGGTGAAAATCCGGGGATTTAATTCAGCGTAC